GTTAAAAAAAAACTGTCAAGTTAGCTGAACACCTGCAGTTTGCCTGGAATCCTCTTTTCCTTCTTCAATATGCTTCACCTCCTTGAAGACCTGGTTTAAAACTAAACTTCTCCTTTGTTGTAAATCACACGCTGACTATGGCAGCATTTTGGGGAACAGATCAACTATACAGAACAGCATGCTCAGTCTCTAAATTCCAAAACCTGTAACTGGCCCATTTAAGTTCTTCCTCTGGGTGGGACTGACTTTCAGACTGTTCAGCTTTTTATGTGCTATTTATTAGTCTCGTCATCAAGTGGTATCTACTCAGTGGTCCTCCCCGTAGTGGCAAAATCAGGCCATGTCACCTGTGCCAGGGCCAGTTAGCTCATGGGGTGGAGAACTCCTCATTTACAATTCCTGCCCTGGAAAAGTCCCAATCTGAGTGTAAAAGATGGAACTGCAGGCCACTAGGGGTCAACCAACTTCTCCAGCCAAAGAGGCCCAGATCAGGACATAAAAAGTGTACACCCCACCCTCCTCCTTTAGAATGCCAGGGCCCAGGAACCTCCCACTGGAACAGGGGTTGGCTGACTGACGATCTTTGGAGCCCAAGCCTTACATTTCAGCAGTAAACCTGCACCCCCTGCACTGCCTACCACCTGAAAGGCAGGTATGTGCAGGGGGAGCTCCTCAAGCCCCACACCACCTAGCCTGGTGAGATTTCTGTCTTTGAACATCTCTCCCACCCTTGCCCTCCCCCTGCCTTCATCCCCTTACCCAGCCAGGAATCCTCTGCACGAGGAAGGTAGGCCTCCTCCCTGTTCCTCTACAACAACACCCTGCCCATTTCTGGAAGCTTCCACTCAATCTGACATCAAGGTCTGGAATGTCCTCCCTCTCTTTGCCACCTAATCCTACTTCTTCCTTTGGATAACAGATTACTGTCCAGATTCCAACATCTGCTACAAGAAGCCGTCTCCAGCCACTCCAATGCATCCTGACCCCACTCCAGCGCTGCAGGGAAGGAAGAGAGGGGCGGGCCCAGTCCTTCGTGTGACAGATGAGGAAACTGACACCCAGGGAGGGGAGGGCCACACCCAAGATTACACACCAGCAGAACCAGGTCTAGCATCCGAGACTTGGCCGTACTGCCTGGTCCAGGATATCCTCCCCCTCTCCTCTGCCCCGGGTAAGATCCTCCAAACTAGCCGTGGGCGCCCCCAATTGTGGGAAAGCTGCAGGCGAGTTGGCGAGGCGGGAGGCTGGCTCCTCACCCTCCCCGCTCCGCTGGCCTAGCCCGATTCCGCAGGCGGTCAGGAGTGGGAC